CAGCTCTGCAGCTCCCGGTGCTCTGGCCAGCAGCCCCGCCCCAGCGCGCCTGGTTTGCCTCTGGCGCCGCACCGAGCTCTTTCTTCCTCCTCCTCCTCCGTCTTAAGCAAGACACTGAAAACAGTTGTGTTCAAATTCAAGTCCAGCATGCAGGTGTGTCTGACACTGGGGATGGGTGAACACCTACTGCCCAAGGCCCAGGGAAGAACCTGAACCTGATAGAAATCTGGTATCCCATGGGCAGCCAAAGGACCAAGAGCTGCTCCCCTTCCCCCTGGGCACATCTACATGACACTGCTGTGCAGTTGTTACTGTGCATTTATTTAGTACTTGTACTAGCAAGTACTACATACTGCAAATGTGCAGTAACCAGAGTTACTGTGCAGTAGTGCCAGCAAACGTCTTTTAGGTGATGCTACTGCACAGTAGCCTAGTTACACTGTGCAGTAGCATGTTAGCACTGTCTGTGCTGTGACAAGCTACTGCGCAGTATTTTTCAGCTAGTGCGTGGTCAGCGTCTCGCGTGTTCACGTCCCACGTTCCAGATGGAACCGAATCCCAGTGCCAGATGCCCTGCAACTGCTCCTCCCTGTCGGGTGTGGGGGGAGGTCTGTGAGCTTGCTCAGGTTACTATCAAGCCTATTCTTCTGGTCCCAGCATGTCCTGGTTTTTCTTCTTTCCTGCCATCCCTCCCCATTGCCGTGTGAAATCACCACTGTGTTGTCTTCCCTTGCTTTTTCTGTCGTGCCCCTTTAACTTCTCAGATTCTTTATTGTGCCTTTCTTCTCCTGCTCTGCACTCAGTCGATGCAGTTGGATCTGATGTCATGCCTGCAGTAGCGGATGGGGAAACTCTATATGACATTTCTAACCACCTTGATAAGGGGTGTAAAATAGTCAACCAAGAGCCTTCAGTCCGGCACACCTTTACCTCTGTACTTGTGCTGCAGGACCTGCCCACTGTACAGTTTCCAAAGGGATTGAATTCCATGGTTTTCCACCTCAGTAAGAGAGACAGTGTGTGGAAAAACTACCAGGCAAGCAAACTTCTTTTAGGAAACATCACTGAGATGACTTGGCTTTAGCTACAGCAGTGCTTTCTGCCTAAGGGGTAGCTCCCCTACTTCCTGCCACAAAGGGCCAAAAGCAAGTCCGCCTATTATGTAACCCAGAGCTTGGACATCGGTGCAGAGATGGAGAATGGCCGCGCACGCAACATGGGTTTCCCTTGGGGATAAAAGTTACATGTTCACAACATAGTCTCAAATGGAAAAAGTGGAAATATCACCCGAAACACTTGTGCTCATAGCCTAGTTTCCTGTCCTAGTCCATCCCAGAAACAAGCCTAATTAAGCCCTCAGTACAACTGTTCTAGCCTTACGCTATTTTTTAAGTGGCATGCTAAACTTAACTGAGAAAATGAATTAGTGTTTATGGCAAGTAACCAGTCTGTACCAGATTCCTGCAGCATAGGAGGTCCCCACACACCTGTGGGAATGGACAGGAACACTTGCATGCCCTGGCACTCACACTGATGCATGCAATACGCCCAGGCTTTCCTCCACCCTCTCTGCAGCATGGGAAAATGCCTACATTAACAAAATATTGGGCAACCTTTTACCCAGGACATTTTCTTGTGTGGATCAAGGATGAATGAGGCTCCAGTGCTGAGCTAGGTAAATAACTTGCGTTGGAAAAGCTTCTGGGAGCTGCTTGTAGCAACACAAAGTCTGTTTTGCAACCACACCCAACGCGCTCCTCTACAGCCAGTGCTAAAACCTCCAGCCAACCCAACGTGCACACATCATTAAATGAAACTCTCACCTCCTAGCTGTTTGAAAACTTCAGTTTTTAAAAAGTCATCCTTTCTTGGATAGTACATGCAAGATACATGTCATATTACACATGACATACAGCAATTCATGGTGTTGTTCAGCTTCTGGTAAAGGTTCTTGGTCCTGTCAAATTAGAGAGCGGTACTGCTGTCTACAATCTGACACTTCTTGTATTCGGATTTGTGACTTTCAAATTAGTCGTATCTTGTTGAAAACCTTTTTTCTGCATCATAACGCAGTATGGAATGCAACATCGCCAACCAATCGGATCACAACATGCAAATAATTTGGTATTCAATCTATAAAACTGCATCTTCAAAGAAAATCATTGAAGTGCTAAAAATATTTTTAATAATGACCACAGAAGCCATATTTGTCTCTTTGATCTTCTGAAGCTTCTTCTGGTTTCAATCAGTATCCCCACATAAAATACAGTGGAAGTCTACAATAATAAAATCCCCATTCCCATGTCCATAGGAAAACAAATAGGTTCTCCTCTCAAGAAGGTAATTTGGTGTTCTGCCTCATCAGTGCCTGGGCCCCAGCCTCTTACTGCTGGGTGTCTTGGCATCAGTTAAGTGGTTTCTGTCCTTCCCTCCATGTTTTACTCTTTCATTAAAGTGTTTCTGTTGTCTAATTATATCCTTTCAATCAAATTAGAGACTGCAGCATCTGGTTAGTGCTTGTAACTGTTGCCATCTGCACCTAGATGCAGCACTTTTCAGTTAAGGAGGATTGCTTAAATTCCAAGAGGCAGAAAGAGATTTGGAAAAAGTTTACTTGGGGCATAACTTAAAAGAAATTTCTTCAGAGACATTGGGAGAGCCCCTGCTTGCTGTGATGTTCAGGCGGGGTGACACAAAGCACCTTCCTCATCTTGTTCGGCAGCAGGAAAGGTGCCTTGGCTGCCCTGGGAAAGCAACTAGGAGGCAGCGTAAACACGCAGTCCCAGGAGGCTGGCCTGAGTGTCTGGCCACCACTTGGCAGGCCCGCACCTCTTGAACATAAATTGGTTCCATGGTCTCACTTCCTGCTCTGGGAATTCTGCTATCCCCACGTTACTCCCTTCACCTATTACAAAGAAGACTATTAATAAGAATAAATTAATAAGGCACTACATTCTCTGCTTCAGCTCTGCAAGGTGCTAATGTCATGGCTATCACATTACTATTGTAGTGAGATCTGCAGTGGAAACATCTATTTTGTTCCTCTTTCCTTTTCCCCCTAACATACAGGCATTGCTGCCTGATTGATAATAAAACTAGCAATTTAGGTTGGTGCAGAAAATACCTTGGAGAGTATTTGGGGTAGAGACACTCCTTTTCCTGAAAACAATATTCTGGCACCAATCCATAGTTTCATAGTAGGTAGGGTTGGAAGGGACCTGAGCAGATCATCAAGTCCGACCCCCTGCCATGGGCAGTAAAGAGTGCTGGGGTCAAATGACCCCCAGCTAGGTGATTATCTAGCCTCCTTTTGAAGACCCCCAAGGCCCCAAGAACACTCCTGAAATTAAAACAAACCCAAAGAAAGTTGTGCATTTTCAGTAAAATAGTTTGAATCAGCACATTTGTCGTTCTGAATTTTCTAATGAATAGACTTTTCCATAAACCCCATAGATGAGCTCCCCAGTTCTGTTAGAAAACTGTAACCCCAGGGGACTCATCATCACTAAACAAATGCCCCCAAGAAGATGGGCCTTGCAGCATGCTCCGATGATTTACAAATGCCCGTTGCTTTGACTGGAAGCAGAAAAATTCCATTACAGGAACCTGTCAAAGAAAGCAACCTGCTTCTTCTACCTCTTATTTGTGCATAACCTCTTCCACATATCTGCGGTGTCTCAGGTCTTTCAGGTAATTGAGACTTCCACCATTTAAAGCTCTGGTGATTAAAACAAAACCCTTGGTCTCCATCTGAAAACTCAATGAGCACCAGCGCACCTCTTCAGATATCAGTGTTAGGTGCTCAATGAGTCACAACCGACCCGCTGAGCACTCTGCAGCAGGCAGATAGCTATTGGCTGCATTGCATTAAGTTTCCAATGAGTCCTAAAATGCCACTGCATGTGGAGCACAGACAGCCATCTAGTTCCAGAATAACAAAGGCCTGGATAATGGTAGTAAGGTCCCTATGTCAGAGAAGAAAGGTCACACGTGTCTAACCAGAGACAGATGGGAAAAAAAATCTGGCTACAGCTGCTATTTGATCTTCTAAAAGCAGCCCTGGATCCAATAAACCTAATTGTGAACCTGCATCACAGAGGGACATGTGTGGGAGGTGGCTACCCCCTCACCTACTGCTCTGGTTCTCCCTTTCCCCATCTACTACCATCTCTTGCCTCCACCAGCTTCTAATGCATGCTCAGGCTTCATGAGGAAGTGAAGTTAAATTGTCACAT